ATATGTTTATATTGGATAAACTCTTCAATATAGGAACTTTCCCCTTCAGGATGCCGAGTTAGAAGGAGTTGGGGAGGGAGGAATTGGTAGGTAGAAGGATAGGACAAGGTTAGCAGTGAGACCATAGAGCACAGGCAAGAGAAGGAAAGAGAAGAAAAAACAAAGAAGAAATACAAATTAGGGCCAGAACAGGAACACAAAGGGAGATGAAGAATAATATGGGAAAGCAAGGGAGCAAGGCAGAGAGAGAGAGAAAGAAAATAGAAGAGAAAGAAAAAAGAGAAAAATTAAAATTTTAAGAGTAGAAAAGAAGGAAAAAATAGAATATTAAAAATGAGAGCAAAAAAATGTGGTTATTTTGAAAATAACAAATAAAAGATATAAATGAAGGGCCTCCTTCAGGTTATGTCTCTGCTGTCACAACAGACAACGTGGCCAGCAGTGTGCAGTTATAAGTCAGTGAGTCTCAGCAAGCTAGTCCCAGACCCGTGAAATTCAGGCAGATTTCTGGCTGCAAGTCCCAAGTTAAGCTCCCTGTCCTTCTGCAAGTTTGCACTCTGGAAGGTTCTATTGCAGGTTTCAGCTGTCTTTCCCCTGAAGGAAGTCCAGGTTCTAATGGGAGCTGATGATCCCTCCAACTTACCAAGCACATTGGTCTGGCGTGCCTTTATTGCAGAGATTCTCTTCACTTTTCCAGTGGGCTTGTTTTCAGCAGGGAGCCTGAAAGTTCCTCTCTCTGTTGTGCACTTCTGCAGCTCAGAACAATGGCTTTTACGTCCCCCTGTGCCTCTGTAGTGTGGAACCAGGTAGCTTCACAGCCAAAAGGCCTGGGGGGGCGGGCCCTATTTTAGAGGCACCTGCGCAGCCAAGCTGGCGGCTGGTGGGCATGCCCGGGGGGAGTGGTCCTTCTCACCCTGTCTTGGTCGCAAGCCTGTCTTGGTCACAAGCTAGTGGAGCAAGCTGGAGGAAGCAGGTCCCAGTCAGCCTGCAACCGCTAGGCCCTGCTTGCTGAAGGATTTTAAAATCACATTTACATGTAACTCTGAAATATATTCTTTTCCATTTTTGGTTCTGGAACTATAATTAATATTTAGGAAAAGGAAAATAGTCCCACTCAAATTATATAAAAAGTAATTTTAGTAATTTAAATGATTCTTCTTCAAACCTACATTGGCAATGGAGAGACTCCAACAGAAAGAATGTTTTTATTTTTCATTTTTTTGAGGCAGCATCTTGCTTTGTGTGGTTCAGGGTGGCCTTGAACTCACTGTGATCCTTCCTGCCTCAGCCTCCTGAGAGCTAGGATTATGGCCTGTGCCACCACACTGCAGAAAGTTTTTAAAAGCAAAGTCCATTTTGGTTTTGTTATTGTTGTTTGTTTGTTTGCTTTTTGAGACAGGATCTCGCTGTGTAGCCTAGGCTGGCCTTGAACTCAAGGCAGCCCTCCTGTCTCAGCCTTAGGAGTGCTAGGATTACAGGTGTGCTAGGATTACAGGTGTGCACCACCACGCCTGGCATTTTGAATATTATTTATAGGGACAGTCTAATTTCTTAGGCACAGATACTTGTTCTCTAGTTTGATGAGTAAAGTAGCTTTTATTATATAAGATGATGTTAACGGGGAATACTACATTTTTTTCTTTTTTAAAAAACCTTTTTAAATTTTTATTTTATGTTATTTAGTACTGGGGATTGAACCTAGGGCTGTTCTACCACTGAGCTACACCCCCAGCTCCCAGCACATCTCATTTTTTTATTTTGAGTCAAGGTCTCACTGAGTTCCCCAGGCAGGACTCAACCTTGCTATCTTCCTGCTTTAGGCTCCAGAGTAGCTGGGACACTGGGATTACAGGTGTCCATGTACCTCTAGGACTGCTTACCTGTACTTTTGGAGGGTAGGGAGTACTGGAAATTGAGCCTAGGTTCTTTCCACTGAGCTGAGTCTCAGCTCTTTTTAAAATTTTGAGACAGTCTTGCTAAAATGCCCAGGCTGGCCGGGAATGTAGCTCAGTGGCACAGTGGCTGTCTGGCAGGCTCAATGCCTTGGGTTCAATTTATGGCACACACCAAAAAACAAATAAAATGCTCAGGCTGGACTTAAACTTGTGATCTTCCCGCATTAGCATCCCAGAGTGTTGGTGTTACACGTGCATAACACTTTGTCTGGTTTTAACTTGCATTCTGAGTTATTCAACACACCTAAAGTATATTCAGCAATGTATTCAATATTGAGAAGCTGAGGTATACAGGTGTGCATCATTTTACAAAATAGCTTTGTTTTGGAAAAATAAAGTATCACTTCAAACAAATATTGTGAAGAATCCTGATGTTAAATCATGCTGTAATTCAATGAATGCTTATACCTATTATTTCCTTTTTAATTTCAGAATTTTCTAAGCAGCTTAGAGTAGGTATTCTTTTTTTTTCTTTTGACATCTCTCTTTTTATAAACATACTGTGTTCCAAATAAAAAGTTGATGTCTGAAAAAAAAATGCAGCAAAACAGAATATCTTGGGGCTGGGGATTTAGCTCAGTGGTGCCACACCTGCCTCACAAGTGCAAGGTCCTGAGTTCAATCCCTGGTACCAAAAACAACAACAAACAAACAAAATCAGATTTTGACTGAATAAAAGTCACTTTAGGGATTAGAAAAATCAACATATGTAATAGAGTATCATTTTTTTTGCTACCGGGCATAGAACTCAGGTCCATGCACTTGCGCAGCAGGTAGCAAAACCACTGAGCTAAATCCCCGGCCCCAATTTTCTTTTTCTTTTTTAATGAGACAGGGTGTAGCTATGTAGTTCAGATCAGGCTGGCCTTGAACTATGTAGCCCAGGCCGGCCTCAAACTCATGGTGATACTCCTGCTTCAGCCCTCTGAGTGCTGGGATTACAGGCATGTGCCACCACACCTGGCTCATCCATTTCTTTCTTTTACCATAAACTACTCTGTGGAGTTTTTTGGATGTACTACTTTTGTTTTCTTTCTTTTATTGTTTTGTTTGCCTCTCAAAGATTTGTTTGTTTTAAAAATTTTTTGAAATAGCAAAACATTTATTGGTACATTTTAGGCATACATAATGATAACACTCATCATAAGGAATTTGCACCTGTACATGATATACATCCTGCCTCTTTTTTTCCCATCCCCCCTCCCTCAAGTCCCCTCTCCTCTCTATGTTCACAAGTTTAGTTTCCATTTTTTCCTTCTATTTTCTTCTTTTTTTCTTATCCCTTCCTTCCATTCTCCCTCACCCCTCCCTTGTTCCCCTTCTTATTTGGACATTTTCTTCCCATTTCCCATATCTAGTATACATTTTAGTCCTTATTTCTACTTTCGGTTTCTCACACCAGAGAAACAGTGAGGTATTTAAACATGAGTATCCAACTTATTTCACTTAAGAGTACGGTCTCAAGGTGCATCCATTTAGCTATAAGTGTCTGAAGGGCATCCTTCTTTATGGCAGAGTTCAAAGATCTGGCCTGTACAGTTGGCAGGAAAATATTTAACACCTGAAATAGGCTTATTGTAAAGAGACTTGGCATGAAAGCTATGCCTGTAATCCTAGCACGCTGGGAGGCTGAGGCAGGAGGATTATAAATTTGAGCACAGCCTGGGTAACTTAGCATTTAGTGGGAGGAAGAAAGGAAGACAAAAATTTGATCTGAGTATTAAGGAGTACCTTAGTTTTTCCCAACATCTCCAATCCCTAAACACCATTTCTGATGAGAATTGTTAAGTCATTCCATTCCTACAGGTAATTATTTTGATACTCAAATCTTAATCAAAACTTTCTCTTTTCATACATTTTCCAAGTTTAGAATTTGAAAGATATTAGGCATAATAATCATATACTCCCCCTATTGGTCTACTATATTCAGTCCCTTTTAATCTTAATTATTATTAATGTTATTATTTTTGCTGGTACTGGGGATTGAATCCAAGGCCTTCATAGCAAGCTGCGTCTCCAACCCTTTTTTTAAATTTTGAGACCAGGCTCTCGCTAAGTCACTAAGTTGCCCAGGCGGGGCTCAAACTTGGGATCCTCCTGCCTCAGCCTCTCAGAGTGCTGGGATTACAGGTGTGTGCCACCACACCTGGGTTTAAACTTCATCAATAAGATGACTGAGGACCTTCCTATAATTTTCTTAAGCAGTTTTGACAATTACAGGATTTTTGTATTATTCAACATAAATTTAAATCAATACTTTCTGTATTATCTATTCCTTAAAATTGTCTTTAATACTATTATCTGAACATTCTGATTTCTAAAAGGGAAACATTTGAGACTCGAGGACTTGATGAGGTTAGAAGTAAACTAATGCTTCTTTCTTTCTTTTTATATGGTGAAAATAATGTGTATTTAGAATTAGCCAGCTGGACTCAGTTTAGATGATCCCAATTTTGTTGGCAACATCCAAAGCATCATCATCAGGAGCCAGTCGAACATATGCCTTCTTTCCATCAGGCCTGATTAGGGTTCTGACCTTGGCCACATCCATGTCACAGAGCTTCTTCACAGCTTGTTTGATCTGGTGCTTGTTGGCCTTGATGTCCACAATGAACACACGTGTGTCGTTGTCCTCCATCTTCTTCATGGCTCTGTGGTCAGGGGAACTTGATGATGGCATAGTGGTCACGCTTGTTTCTCCTGGGGGCGCTTTTCCGAGGGTATTTCGGCTGCTGCCCGAGCTGCAGTGTCTTGGAGCGGCGGAAGGTGGGTGACGTGCAGATTTTCTTCTTTTTGTGGCTGTGGATGCCTTTCAGCACTGCTTTCTTGGCTTTCAAAGCTTTTGCTTTGGCATCAGCTTTGGGAGGGGCAGGAGCTTCCTTCTTCGCCTTCAGCACCATCTTGGTAAAAAGCTAATGCTTCTTTCTTTACCAAATGGCTGTTGCTGCTCACATCTTTCTGCTTCACTGAAGATTTGTTTATACTTAAGGAGACGCCACAACAGTAGGGTTACACATCTCACTGAATCTGCCATGTCCCCCTCAGGTTATGACATTACTGGGCAAAATGGAGCGTCTCCGGAGCTCTCCCCTTCATCCCAACATCTCCACTGCTCTTGACAGACACTTGGAGTCCATCCACATCGTACAGTCGCGCAGAAAGGATGAGATTTTTAATGCTTCAAGTCGGCAAAGGCAAGGGGTGCCAAGATGCCAGGATGACAGAGGTACAAATATTAGTGCACACCTTCTAATAAGGTAGTGTGATAATTTGAATATTTTAAAATCAGATTGGGATTAAAAGATTGGATTTCTAAGATTAACACTTGCCTAAAGAACAGATTAGCAAGTGATCAACACATTTATTCCAAAGATACATTGTTCTACTTTGTTAATTTTATTCATTTAATTATAATGTCTTAAGACACAATCTGTTTTGTCCAAAGACTTGATTGTCATACAGGTCAGAAAATATCAAATAACAATACTTTTAAGTATTTTTTTTTTTGGTACTGGCGATTGAACTCAGGACCTTGTGCTTTCAAAGCAGGCAGCGGCACCACTGAGTTAAATCCCTGGCCCACTTTTAAGTATTTTAAAAACTAAATACTGGGGCTGGGGATTTAGCTCAATGGTGCCACCACCTGCCCCGCAAGCTCAAGGACCCGAGTTCGATCCCCGGTACCAAAAAAAGAAAAAAAAAAAACCCAAAAACTAAATACTTAGGTTAGCTCAATCAGTGGCCACCTTCCCTTCTTTTCCCTTCTCTTCCCTTCCTTCCTTTCTTTCTTTGGTTTTTTTGAAACAGAGTTTCACTATGTATTTCAGGCTGGCCTTGAACTATGTAGCCCCGGCTGGCTATGAACTCAAGTGATCCTCCTGCCTCAGCCTCCAGAATGCTAGGATCACAGACTTTGGCCACCGTACCCATCTGATCCTTGTTTTTGTTTTTGGTACCAGGATTGAACCTCTGGACCTTGGGTTTATGAGGCAGGCAGTGGAACCACTGAGCTAAATCCCCAGCCTTGATCCTTGTTTTTATAAAAATCGTGTCTGATCATTTAGTATTGACAACACTGGGTTTCATGAGTTTAGGGATACTGAAGTGGTATCTATATGAAATGGCCCTGAATATTTTTTTTACAGATGTTTTTGCCCTTGCTTCAGCAATTAAAGAGATGTGTGTGGCTACTCGGAAAGCACGCACAACCCTGTGGTGTGCACTGCAGATGACCTTGCCGAAGACAGTAAGCACAGCGGGCCACGCAGATGTGGATAAAGTTTTACAGGACATAGTGAACTGACAATAAGGTCCGTGAGAGCATGAATAGCAGCAATCCAGTGAACCAGAGAGGTGACACAAACATTAAGGAAAGGCCACAGAAGGAAGAATGAAAAGCTGATAAGTAAATTTATCAAGACATATTAACAATTTTTAATGAACTTGTCAAACTTCAGTACATTAATTTTCTTTTCAACTTAGTTAATACCTTAATGAAGTCGAACTTCTATTTAAAAATCTATTTGGAATGAATGAGATAGTGAATTTAGAGGCAGAGTTGACTAGGAGTTCTGAGTAGTCCAACATAACAAATTTCTTTAAGCAAATTAAATACTTCCTAACAGCTAAAATAGTACTTAAACTCATTCTGCAGTGCAGGTAAATGCAAATATCAAATTCTTCATTTAGTTCTGCCTTAGTATGATTCCAAATAATGAATGTTAAGTGACTGTAACCCAAATATGGCTACAGTCTAGTAACCAAGACAATGTTGATTGTGATAGGAGTGTTTTCCTTACAAAACTGGATAAACCTAAGAGATGAAGGAAAACAAATATTCACGTAAAAATTTAAAATACTACCACATTTATAGATTTGAAATCTTAGTGCTTAAGTATACGGAGGGAAATCCATCCGATTCTCCTAAATTAGTGATAAAAGTGCCAGTGCAAAAACCATGCAAGTTATTGGATATAAAACCTGTTCAAATCATTTGTGTATATTCTTTACAATTTATACTATTAATAATTTCTAATTTTAAAGTTAAAATTTATTCTATGAAGTATTATTTCTAATTTTAAAGTATTTAACTTGAATCAAAACATTTCCTTTATCTGGAACTTTTAGACTTGATTTACAGTCACTAAAATAATGACAACTGTTTTAATACCCTTAGTTGGCTGTCTTTTATGAGGGTATCACGAAGTTCTAAAAGGTAATTTTTTAAGGTTAATCCTTAACTAGTTTAGTTTGCATTTGGTTCATTATATTTTGTGCAGTTGTGTTCATTAGTTTGCTTCTATATTTTTTTTTTTAAAAAAGAGTACTTGAAAGCTTGGCTTTTCCTCTTTCTCATCCCTTAATACCTGTTATGGAACCCGAGTAATTTATTAATACAAAACGTTAGTATTATGTGACTCGGAAGATCTGCGTTTTAACATTTCCAGCATGAGTTGAACTATAATATAATGTACTGATGAAATTTAATTGTATGCTTAATCAAAAACACTGATGTTTTAAACGTTGTTTTTCTTAGTTTTAGAAATCCTGGTATTTAAAAAGTGTAATCACACCAATAAATTTTCTTTAGATGATGTGTGGAAGACACTGCTTGCAAATGCAGGAGTAACTGTAGGGAGAAACATTTTGATCACTGATAAGCCATAGAACTACTCAAATGAATTGCATTAGGGTAGTCAAATAAAATAGATCACCCCACCAGTCACTGCACAGAAAGTGGTTAAGTTTGATATGAGACATGTTGGATGTTATAAAAACAAATACTGTACTGAATTTAGTCTCTCAGGAAAAGGATAAATTGTTGAAAATATTTGGGTTTTTTTTTTTACATTTGTATCAGTTTCTAACTCTCAAGAGTTACTCATATCAGAAAACTTAACTGATAACAATGTTTTAATTTCATAAGTAACAGGGTTAGTAGATTGATGCCCTTCATATATACTTGAATCGCACATGAACACCTTACCTTCAAAGATGAAACTTTTATTATCTTTACAGTAATCTAGGCAAACCAGAGTAAAATTTGGGTAAAAGCTTTAATATGACATTGGTCAGAAATGAAACTACTCCATTTAAAAAAAACAAACTTTGTTAAAAATTAAAAATCACAAGTCACCCAGTAGCTATTTCTTTTATTAACTGGTTGTCCCTTTCTACTGTGTAATGTCTAATAGATGGTTCTTATGTACCACACATCTTAAGTACAACCTACAGAAACGTTATACACAGCTAGGCATGGTGGCACACACCACTAAACCCAGCACTCTGAGGCTCAGCCTGAGCAATTTAACCATTTAGCAAGACCCTGTCTCAAAACAGAAAATAAAGGGCCGGGGATTTACCTCAGTGGTTCCGCCACCTGCCTCACAAGCGCAAGGACCAGAGTTTGATCCCCGGTACCAAAAAAAAACCCAAAACAAAATTAAAAAAAGGACTAGAGATGAAGTTCAGTACAAAGGCCCTGCATTCTATTCCCAGTACCACCAAAAAAGAAAACAAAAAAAATCACACAAAATCTTAAGTGAAACTGGTAAAGCTGGTGCTCCCACCATTTCTAATTGAAAGAAACTTGGTGTATTTTTATGGAAAAAACAATTTGTATAAAGGGATTTAAAAATTACTCTGAATTATTGTATTAGTATTCTTCCAATTTGATTTTTTTCAGTACCAGGAACCAAACTCAGGACCTTGTGTTTGCCAGGCAGGTGGTGCCACTGAGCTACATCCCTGGCTCTTCCTATTTGAATAATCTACTATAAAGTTTTAGAGGGTTGGTTGGGAATTAGTTATGACTGAAATCTCAAGTTTGGCCTAATACTCAATCTTACTCTAGAAGATGTGGTCATTTAAAATTTGCCCTTTGAGGGCCGGGGATTTAGCTCAGTGGTGCCACTGCCTGCTTGGCAAGTGCAAGGTCCTGAGTTCGATCCCCGGTTGGGGAGGGGGTGGGGGGCCCTGCCCTTTGCAATATTAAACATTTTAGATATAAAGGATTTATAGTCACATGAATGGACAATCATACTCAAAGCCTAACAAGCTGATTCTTTCTGTTGAAGCACTAGTTGGAATGTATACTAACTGGGACATACTTATGGAATAGTCCCAGAAGGAAAAGTCAACTGCTAACAAACAAATACTCGTGAGGGGTCCATGGGTATAATCTGACTCCTTTGGAGACCAAACCGAGAATAAACCAAATCCCAAAATAAGGCCCCTAATGAAACAGGCTCAGATGCCACCTCCTACTGCTATCACCAAATAAAGAACTAAACCTCCACTAGTAACTCAAAAGACCTCACAGCCAATTTACTGACTTTCCAAAAGACAATAATCTTTATGATCTCCTGATCTCACCTCACAGAAAGGAAATCTGAGGAAAAGTTTATGGATTCCAGGGAGAAGAGGTTCTACCAGTAGAATGTAGGTTATAGGCCTAATTAAAGCATAAAGTAAAAACACTCCTAAGTGACTGTCTACATAAACTTCACTTCCACCGGTACCTGGAAAGAATCAGACAGAAGATAGTGATTTAAATAAAGTTTATTTTTTTTAAAAGATGGTTATTTTTTCAATGCCACAGTTACGGGACTGTGAAGAGGCAACGTATCTTCTTTTCTTTATTCATGTCTTTTTAAAAAAAACCTTCTGGGGCCGAGGATTTAGCTCAGTGCTTTTGCCACCTGCTGCACAAGCGCCAAGGACCTGAGTTCGATCCCTGGTACCAAAAAAAAAAAAATGTAAAAACTATTTTTAGTTTGTACCATATCAAAAAAAAAAAAAAAAAGCACCAGTCTGGCTCCTGGGTGGTAGTCTGCTGAGCCCTGGTTGCTCTGCTGCAGGAGTCAGCAAGGGAAGGGCCTGGCCTGCAGCACTGTGGCTGTGACCAGGACAGGAGTGGAGCCCTGTGACCTCTGACCCCAGGCTCCCACCCATTCACTAAGTTCATTAAGCACCTACCGGACCTGTCCTGCGTATCTTTGCATCACCAAGGGTTCCAGTGCTTTTCTTACAAGGGTAATCCCTCCAGTTTCTCTAAACCAGGAACCAGCGGTCTTAATAGTCATGATTTAGGGCAAATCAGGATTAAAATCTACCAGCACTCAAGGAGATTCATGATTATAAAAAATTAATCTAGCAATGATATCCTTACACTCAATGCCAACTTTCTTCTTAAAGTCACTGCCCAGAAAAAGAAAAATACATAAGTATCTCTATTTAAAAACTTTTTTCTGTCCTGTAAGCTGAAACTTTCTTAAAAAACATTCTCAGATCTACAACATTCCCTTGCCAAATAGTCCTTTTCCTAGTTTGCCGCCATGTACCCTAAACTGGATTTTCAGCAGGGCTTCCTATCTCAGCCGGGAAACCGCTACAACTGGGGCACCAGCACCTGCACAGCAGCCTGCACCCCACAGAGCAGAGGTCCCAGCTCCACTCCTTCAGGAGGAAACCTGAGTCAGCTTTCTGAATCTTGCTCTTTATCCAAGGAAGATTTCTTTTTAAAAAGGTGCTAAAGAAGCCTGGGAGTTGAATAATAAAATATGAAGGCTGCCCCATTCTAGGTCTTTGGTAGAGAACGACTAGAATATGACTGCCCACACCACTGAATACACACCTATCGTAATTAGAATGATTGTGATACTCCTTTTAACCATGTAAACAAGAGGAAACCTTTTGCCACAATGCTCTCAGACCTCCTAAACACGTCTGCGAAACCCAGCTCGGCTTGAGGTCCACGAGGGGAAGAGCGAAGCTGGCTGAGGTTATCGCTTCCGCTCCCCTCTCTGTGTCCTTTTCCTCTCCTTTTCCTTGCGCTCCTGCTTGGCCAGTCTGTCCCTCTCCCTCTGCAGCTTATCCTGTTCCTTCTTCCTTTGGGACTCATCCCGAAGCAAGTCCCGCTCCAGTTTCCGAGCGCTGAGGACGTCCTCCACATTGGTGTTTCGGAACAGAGCTGAGGTGAGTTAAGGGATTGAGAAGCAGGTAACAGTGGCCCGAGCTAGCACTATTCCTCGCCCTGCGGTCCTCTCGCCAATGCTGAGCTCTAGCCTTCAGAGATAACCCTTGTGTTTATCTTCGGTCTAGGGAGAAATGCTAACACTACCAGGACAGAAGTTCTAAAATGTCCTTCAGATTAAAATCGCTTTCAGATTTTGGGTTTTTTTTTTTCTTTTGGTCTATTTTTGTGGGAGGTTTTTGGTTTTCTTTCAGATTTAACTAAATCTGAATTTTAAAGTACATTATCAAAATGAAGGTTCAAGTGTAAATAGTTATTCAACACCCGAATACTGCTGGCATAACTATGATAGTTCTAGTGATAGGAGTGTAACTGGAAAACGAACTTGGCCCATAAAAATGCTTGAAAAGTTAATCTTATCAGTTTTTCCCTTACGTACTGATGCTAAAGGAAAAACTGTTCTAATAACCATAAAGACTGAATTCATGAGAAACAAAGTAAGTTTAACAATTGTTAGATTTTCTTTTCTTTTTTTTTGGTACCAGGGATCGAATTCAGGTCCTTGTGCTTGCGCAGCAGGTGGTAAACCCACTGAGCTAAATCCCCGGCCCTAGATTTTCTAACTAGTCAAAAACTGTATTCCTCAGGGCTCGGGATTTAGCTCAGTGGTTTTGCCACCTGCTGTGCAAGCGCAAGGACCCAAGTTTGATGCTTGGTACCAAAAAAAAAAACAAAAACAAAAAAACTGTACTCATTTCTTTGTTTTTTGAGACAGGGTCTCGATATGTAGTTCACGCTGGCCTCAAACTCACAGTGATCCTCCTGCCTCAGCCTCCCAAATGCTGGGATTACAGGTGTATGCAACCATGTCCAGCTCTCATTTCTTACAACTTTAAATAACTTTAGTATCAGACAAGCTCCTCCCTTAAAACATGACTTTTTTCTATTTTAGTGTTTTAGGCTCAGGCTGTAGCTCAATGGTAAAGTATGTGCCTAGCATGCACAAGGCCCTGGTTTAACCCTAGCACCACAGTGAATGAATGTGTGTCCCTGAAATCACCTCCCCTTCCCTAATAACCAACGTCCTCCTTTGCTCCAAGGTGGACTTAGAAGCTGCCTTCTCAGGGCTGCAGCTCAGGTCAGGATTGTCAGGAGGGTCCTTCCTCAGCACAGATGTCACTATGTATATTTTCAGCTTAAAACGTTCAGTTTTTGTGTTCTCTTTCCAAGAAATTATAAGGTTCCTGAGAACAAAAAGAAAACTCCATTATTGTACTGGTTTCCAGAGTGCCAAGCAACCCAGATCTGCACCAGTGCACAGACTCTGAAGAGCTTGCTCCCAGCCAGCCCTGCACAGAGCCCACTGACCCGCTCAGCCTGGGCAAAGTGCTTCTGCAGTGACAGCAAGCCTTTCAGAGCTTTCCAGGATAAGAGGCTGGCTGCAGCTCGTGTGCCTTAGGTTTGCCACCACTGTCCTAAGGTGACTACCTGGGCCATCTAGGATGGGCTCACAGTGCTGACAGAAGTTCCTGGAGATAAAGGGAACCCTGGCAATGACAGCAGAATGAAAGCTGACCCTCAAGAGGACCTATGGAGACACATGGGGACGGACACAGAGAAGGATACATTTGTCAGAAGCCGTGTTCATCCCAGCGCCTGAATCGTCATTCTCATCTGCTTCAGTGACTGATGTTAAGGAAAAGTTGGAAAACAAAGCCCTGCACATCCCAATTCAGCATCAGAAACGTGCAGCAGACAGGTGGGCAGGGAAGCGGGCTGGATGCAGGGAGGGTCCCGTCGGGATGACAGAAAAGGGGTGAGGCGAACACCTGTCATCCTAGCACTCGGGAGGCTGAGGCTGGAGGATCACTGCCAGTTCAAGCCCACCCTGAACTACATGGCAAGCCCATCTCAAAACTCCAAAAACAAAAAAACAAAAAACAAACTCCACTTAGGGAATTCTGTCCAGAGCTTCTAGAATCCTTTTCTTAGAGGCTGAGAAGAAATGTAAGTTATTCTGGGTGACAGACCTGCAAGCCAGGCCACAGGGAGATGCCCTCTCAACAGCGGCTCTTGAAGCACTGTTCCCAGGAATATACCTTCCTGGACCCCAAACCTCTTCAGCCAGAAACACTGGAGGGAAAGCCCAGAAATCTGAGATTTAACACATCCTCCAGGACAGCCAGTGCTTTAAAAGTTCTCTTCTCACCCAAGAACTGATGTTCTGTCATTAGGGTCACAGTGCTGCCAACCCTGTCAAGGCAGCCACGGGGAAATCCCGGCAGAAACAGACCCGGAAGCACTCAGGAATTCCTTCCCACTCCCATGATGATGCCGCTGACACTTCTAGGGCGATGGCCCCGACACAATGCGCCAGACCCCATTCATGTCAGCCAGGTAAGTTCAGCGTGTCCTCTGTCAACGTCACACCCACAAGTGACCTGCCAGCCCCCAATGCTTTCTGTATCACACTCAGATCCCAGCTTTATTCTGGTGTTGCGTGGGGCTTGAACTCCATTTGTAACTACAATCACATTGGGAAGTCACAGGAGGCTGCTCCTAACTCAGCACACCCTCAGACACCCAGGTTCTGGTTCTGACCTGCCACTTGCATCCCAATGCCTCAGATGGTTCTTGGTGCCTCAGTTACACTCAGGACACCTCACCACACAGAAAACCGTCAGGTGAACAGAGACGTTCTGAGAGCACAGTATAAGCACTCCACTGAGGCATGACTTGTTTCTCGCTGAAGTTTTCAGGAAGATACTGATCATGTGTTAAAAACAGAAGTCCAGGGGGATTTAGCTCAGTGGTGCTGCACCTGCCTCGCAAGCACAAGGTCCTGAGCTCGATCCCTGGTACCAAAAAAAAGTAGACGTCCGGACCCAGGGGTCAGCTCAGGAGCAGAGCACGCGCTCACTCACCATGTGGGAGATCTGGGCTCCATTCTAGTACCAAAATGTGTCCACATGAGCGTGTGAGAGTGTATGTATGTATGTGCATGTGCACATGTGTGTATACGTGTGTATATGAGCAACCCGCTCAACTTTCCAGATCATGGCTCACATCCACACAGGGCCACAGAGGGTCGCCTTTTCTTCTTGGTACCAGAGATAGAACCCAGGGCCTCTGCATTGAGCTACATCCTCAGCCTTTTTATTTTTCAAGTAGGGACTCGCTGAGTCACTAAGTGGCCCAGGCTGGCCTTGAACTTGCTATCTTCCTGCCTGGCCGTGTCACTGTCATCATAGAGAAAATGAAGCCAGGTGGGGAATGGGCCACTTTTTAAGGTCCTGTAAGCCCTGGCTGAGCGGCAGGGAAGGATATTCCTCCTCATCGGTTATGTCAGCGTACTGCGCCAGCAGGGCGGCTTTCCTCTGCCGCTGCTCCTCCGACACCATCCGGGGCTTTACCACGATCTGTGCCTGCTTCTCAATCAGGGTGGCAATGGCCTGGACCTCATCTGGGAGGGGTGCAGGAAGGGACAGTGTGGTAACACGAGAGGAGAGGGGTTTGTGACCCCAAGCCTCCTGTGGTACACCTGCTGACTCCAGAGCCCTGGGTTCAGGGAAGCTGCCTCAGGGGCCATGAGCAAGTAGAACCAGGTTTTAGGCCCTAACCCATCTTCAACCAGAGAAGTGCTGCCGCTTAAAGGGTTGGAAAGCACTATGCTGAAATCACGGGAAAGCGCCCACACATGGGACTGTGCTCGGGATCTAGAACCGACACAGGCTGCTCCCTTTCAAGTTTATCATTATGCCATGTAAAATTCTTAAGAATATTTTGCCCAATGTGGAGGTGCAGTGTTTGTAATCCCAGTATTTGAAAGGCTGAGGCAGGAGGATCACAAGTTTGAAGCCAGCTTGGGCTACATAACAAGATCTTGTCTCAAGAAGAAGAAAAAAAAAGAACATAGTATTTTGCCACATTTTAAAATAAGATCACTTATTGTGTTCTCCACTGTCAGGGAAGGAACAGGGGTATAAAGCAGCATTTCTCCAGCCTGGCTACACAGGAAGGTCATCTGGGATGCATTTGGGAAAACACCACCAATGCTGGCCCAGCCAGCCCCAGGGGACTCTAGCGCAGCAGACAACCGCATCAGGTTGTGAGTCTATGATTTGCATGTTCTCAGCTAACTTGCCAGCCTAATGCTGACTATATAAGCCCATTTCAGCATCTTAAAGGGTGAAGAGCTTAGCTGAAGACACAGTCTGTGTCACAAAATGAGAACATGAAAAAGGTATAAGATGAGAAAAATGTAGCTGACTGTACCCGCAATGCCAAGCTTCACAGGCCACTGGAAAGATGAGAAAAGCAAAGCCACAGGAGCTGGAGATTTAGCTCAGTGGTTCCGCCGCCTACCTTGCAAGCGCAAGGACCCAAGTTCGATCCCCAGTACCAAAAAAAAAAAAAAGTTAAAGCCACAGTGGTGCACTCCTGTAATCCCAGCTACTCAGGAGGCTGAGGCAGGAGGATCACAAATTCAACCCCAGCTTGGGCAAATTAATAACTTGGCAAGATCCTGCCTCAAAAGAAAATGTTAAAGGGCCAGGGATTTAGCTCAATGGTTCCGCTGCCTGCCTCACAAGCACAAGGTCCCGAGTTCAATGGGCTGGGGTTGTAGCTCAGTGTGAAAGGCTGGGGTTCAATTCCCAGTAGGGAGGGGAAAAAAAGAAGAAAAGTTAAAGCACACTGCTGGCTGCTTGCCAGCGGAAACCTTCCAGGCACCCGTGTCCAAAGGAGGATGTAAAAGTCTCCGATCAGCTGTGTGCCGAGGCTCCAGGAGAGGCCCTGGGGGTGACCACAAACACCAATGCTACCTTCTTTCTTCACTTTGGGGACAACATTCTGAGATTCCGACCACCGTTCCACAATCTCTTTGCAGATGGTAAGGAGGGAATCTTCTTCCTAGTGGGAAAAGCAGATAAATTAATTTCCTGAGAGCTCATGAAAGCAACAGCCACCTAAAGAAGGGCTACCCGGGGCACAGCACTCCTGATGGAGCAGAAATCAGACTATGGAGTCAGGCAGGATTCAGCCATGTGGACAGATTCTGTCGGGTGCCAATGCACACCTGCAATTGCAGCTACTTGGGAGTTCAAGGCCAGCTTGAGCAACACATTAAGACCTCATCTCAAAAAAATAGGTAGATAAAACTTTTAAATACATGTATATTGCATTTTTTTGTTTACTTTTTTTTGGTATTTTTTCAGTACTGGGAATCAAACTCAGGACTTTTCACTTGCCAGGCAGGTAAAGCACCACACTAAGCTATATCCCCAGTATACACTGCATTTTAAATTGACAATAATTGTACGTATAATTGTGGGGTACTATCTAATGTTTTAATGTTTCCGTTATGGAATGATACAGTCAGAGTAATTAATAGGTTCATCTTACATACTCACTAGTTCGCTGCGTGAAAACATCTAAAGTTTTCTTAGCAGTTCTGAAACATACAACGAATCATATCATTTATCACAGTTGCACTCAGGCCTTGGGTCACTAAATCCTCTTTCCCCTCTCCCTGAGAGTCTCTACCCTCTGCTCAGCATCTTCCATTTTCCCTTCTACCCTCCCCACTTCTTTCAGTGCAAAAAATCCATCGACAGGGCCAGGGATGTAGCTTAGCGGAACTGCACCTTCCTGGCAAGCTCAAGGTCCTGAGTTTGATCCCCAGTACCGAAAAAAAATAAAATGCATCACCTAGGTCAAAACTTGCCCTGTGAAGTCAGCTGATGTGGTCAGACAATTCTCCAGGGTTCGTGGGCTGTCGTGCCGCAGCACCTCTGGGGCATGGGGCCCCGGGGACAGGCAGGCAGAGGGCCCATCTTCCCCTCAGGTCAGTTGAACAGAACCACGCTGGCTGTGGATCAGACACCTAGGTGCCTGTGCCAGGCCTGTGAGCAGGGCTAACTCTCTGAGCTCCTGTTACTGGTGCCTGACTGTACACCACACTCTTGAACCTTACCTCAATTCTTGCCAACAAACTTCATAATCCCTAAGATTTAGTATCAGCCCAGTCTGGCAACTGTGCCAGACGGGCTGTGCTTGTTGTTTTTCCTAGAAAGGATTTGACACAAATGTCACGGTCAGCCAGGTGTGGTGACGCACACCTGTGTTGGCAGCATAGGGAGGCTGAGGGAGGAGGGTACTGCGAGTAAGTTAGGGGCCTCTGGCATATATGCCTCCAGACAGCTAACTGAAAGCAGCACTTTGAATCAGGTGCTCAGCATACAACACACTGCATTCTCTTCAGCTGTTTCAGCGACAGAAGCCCTGCTTCACTGTATGACTCCTGGCCAATTCTTCCCAGTCGGTGTCCACATAGGAGGATAAGGGAAGCTATGAAAAAACCAAACATGGCACATGAACCAGATGGGGGTGAGAGGGGCCTTCAAAGATGATTCTGACTTCTGCAGCTTATGCTGCGACACACAGACAGAAAGAACTACATTTTTTCTCGATCATCACCTCTTCTCTCAAGAGTCTGTTAGCAGCCTAACACAGACACCTGCTTCCCTTTATCAACAGAAAAACACCACCAAACAAGGGCACCATGAGAAGGGTTGGCTAAGGCAATGGTACCCAGAAGTAACGAAGTTATTTTAACAAGCTCATCATGGAGTCTTTAGAAAATTGCTTGAATGGGGAAATGGGATAAAATAAAATTAAATTTATTAATTAAAAAAAGATGACTCCCAGCTGGAAGTAAAATTCAAGGGCTAGCCATAGTGGCGCACACCTGTAATCCCAGCCACTTGGGCTGCTGAGACAGAAAATCCAAGTATTGGCCAGCCTGGGCAACTGAGACCTTGTCTCAAAATAACACCGAACAAGGGCTGGGAATGTAGCTTGGTGCTACAGCAAGTGCATGAGGACCTGGGTTCAATCCCCACTACCACCAGGAAAAAAAACACCAAAAACTAAAGTTCCTTGCCTCTTATTCCTTGTGTAATCTGCAATGTCAGGATCCAAGAAAAGATTTTATTCCACTGGGCTGTATTTCCACCAAACTCCCAAGCTGCTATACAAGCTTTGTTTAAGTTTTCCTTTTTAGGGCAATCTCAACAGAGCAGGTTTGGGACGAAAAGGGTTCTCACCAGAGGGATCCGGGACAGCTGCTCATGAACTGCACTTGAGATTTTTTTTTTTTTCTTTCCCTTTCTTGCCCCCCACCTCCGCAGAATACTTCTGGACTTGAAACAGTTTCCTACTTTCTACAAAGTATGTATGTGTATGTTTATATCTATACAGTATTCCTAGTACCTTTGATTCTCTGTTCACTGTGACAGATGCCAAAGGATAAAGCCCTTGACGGACTGGTGGCTTTCACAGTAGCAGTCCAGTTTCCAAGATCTCTAAACCATGAATGCAAAGACAACCCTAGTTTTCTACAGTATTTAGCAATGATGCAAGTAAATTTACTTTCAAGCTCCTTGTTTTTAAAAGGAAAGAGCCTGCGGAAGCCACAGACCAGCGAAGCCACAGAAACTATTCGAGTGTGGGTTGGAGCGAGAGTCGGGATGAATGTAGCAGAAATTACCGGGTTTGAAGACTGGACATCTTGATCACTTCCTACCTAAACACCGCTTAAAGTACGCATTTCGGAAGGAGTGAATCTGGTCAGAAGACAGCTAGCAAACTTCTCTCATCTCATCCACCGCCCTCCATACCAATGATCACCAAACGCCTGGATACTGGAAAGGACAATCGTAACACTGCCTTCAGTTCCGCCCGCCCTGAAGAGACCTCTGCCACCAGCTCACCTTTGGACTCCTACCTGAGGGGACTTCTACCGATTTTGGTCGTGGGGCAGCCCCAGGCACTGCCTCCCAATGGGCAGACAGCCCAGAGCGTTTTCTTCCCTCCTCGGAACACTGAGGGAGGCAGGACTGGTTTTGGGGACTGATGATCCTAACCCCGACCCACTTAGGCCTTCGGAGGGAGCCGGAGCGCCCCCTCTGACCGGTGACCTTCCGGCTTCAAACCCTGGCAAGAAACCACCCCCTGCTCTCGCGGCCCCGAGCTCGGGCCAGGAGCGCGTTCTCCCAGGTGAGGCTACTGGGCCTCCGTGACCCCGAGTAGGGAAGGGGGTGCCACGTGCCGCCCGGGGTTCTCCGCTGCTCACCAGGAAAGCACAGAGGATGCACTGCAGGGCGTCCAGCTTCTCTTCCTCCTCCTCCTCCTGCAGGACGCCGAGAATGTAGGCGCCATACACGGCTCGGTCCACTCCCAGCGCCTCCAAACGCCCATCCAGCCAGGACCCGAAGACCCCGCCGCCGCCGTCGTCGCCTGGGCAAGAGGAAGACGCGGCTGTCTCGCTGGGCGCCGCCATCTTGGGGCCGGGGTCCTGCCAGCCCCCGAGGCGCCCACCGCAGTGCCTGACCGCCTACTGCGGCCCAGTGCGCATGCCCAGGGAATCCCCGCCCACCGTGGCGTGGACGCGGAGCCGGGCGACGCGAGGTCACGTGGTGGAGGGGTAGGCGGGGCGAGCGGGGCGGAGCCTCACACGTGCTCAGGACAGCCTCAGCTCTGTTTGGTCGACGCGCAGGGAGGCAGGCCGGGCCCTGCCAGCTCCTCCTCCTTCCCCGGCCACCTGTGACGACGGGGAGCAGGATCTTGCCGCAGGGCCCTGAAGGCAGACGAGGACGTCACCGTCTGCGCCTCGGGGATGGTAGCCCGGGGTCAGGGTGGAGTTGCCGTCCCTGGCCGCCCTGTGCTGTTGGCGTTGAGGCTTCCTGAGGCCGAGGACAGAGGGCAGCCGGGCATGAGAAGCCAAACAGAGCCCCGTGCGGGTCACAGGTGCGAATGGAGCAGCCCGAGCCCCGGCGTCTGTGTGCGCCTGAGCCTAAACGCAACCCCGGGAGGCAGGCAGAGGCAGCCCGCGAACACTGGCCTCGGCTTCCAGTCCTCAGACGCTTCTCTTCCTATTTTCCTTTTGTTCAGGAGCTTGAACCCAGGACCTTGCACGTACTATTTTTCATACAGCAGTAGTCCTCACAAAGGATTTGTGTTTTGTTTCGGTTTTTGCAGTGCTGGGGATGGAAGCCAGGGCCTCATACATGCTAGGTAAGTGCTCTACCCCGAGCTGCAACTCTAGATCTTTTTTTCTTTTGAGACGGTCTTAAGTTATCCAGGCTAGCATCAAACTTCTGATCCTCCTGCCTCAGCCTCCCTAGTAGCTGCGATCACAGATGTGCCACCAGTGTGCTTATCTGACAAAACATTTTTCAAAGTATCAGCAAACTGGGCCGGGGATTTAGCTCAGTGCTAAATTTCAGTGCTAAAGTTCCGCTGCCTGCCTCGAAGGCGGAAGGACCCGAGTTCGATCCCTGGTACCAAGAAAAAAAAAGAAAAGTATCAGCAAACTGAGTGAAGGCTCTCCACACCCTAAACATTAAGAACGTCCTCCTTGGCTAGCTTTATACCAAAGAAACCATTGTCCTGAGTTTTTAAAAATTCATGTGAGGCTGGGCATGGTGCCACACACCTGTAATCCCAGCACTTGGGAGGCTGAGGCAGGAGGATTCCCTGGGCTACATAGTTCAAGGCCAGTTTGAACTACATAGACCTTGTCTAAAAAAAAAAAAAAGGTAAAAGGGGGCCAGGGATTTAGCTCAGTGGTTTCATCGCCTGCTGCGCAAGCGCAATGGCCCAAGTTCAATCCCGGTACCAAAAAAAAAAAAAAAAAGATAAATTCACGTGAAACAGATTGATGCATATAGACAAATAACAAAATTACAGGAAAAAAACTCTGATTTCCTTTATACACTATAAAAAGGTGCTTTGAGGCTTAAAAAGGCAAAGTCTTGGAGGATAAAAAAAATTAACTTCTTAGTCATTTTACAGGTTTTTTTGTTTTTTGGTACCAGGGGTCGAACTCACAACCTTGTGCTTATAGTTTTTAAAAATACAAATTAAATTTGCAAGGATGTACCATTTCTCCTCAGGTCAGAAAGTCTAGCAGTAGCACTGGAGTGTAGCTCAGGGGCAGAGTGCTTCCATAGCACGCTTGAGCCCCTGGTTTGGATCCTAGAAAACTTCTGGAGAAAAAGTGTAATGTTCCTTGTGGTAGCCTGGGAGAGGGTAGTAGACGTGCCACACATTGGAGGAGAAAGTAGATCTGAGCAGGCTTTCAGAGGGCTGTTTGAAAAGACCCAGCATTTCTACTCCAGGGAGTTTGCAATGAAAACCTGCAGAGTGACGAGGGCGTTCACTGAGGAGAGGCTTGCTGTGTATGAGCAGCTATTGGAAAAGCCTGGTATTGTGCGGCTGGAAACTGAACGAGGTACTGGGGGTATGGCTGAGTGGTCATGTGTGCCTAGCATGGGTGAGAGCCTTAATAAAGGCAAAATGACTGTTTCATTTACCTGCATGTGGCATGCGCTTGTAGTCCCTTCACTTGAAAGGCTGAGGCAGGAAGATTCCTTGAGCCCAGGAATTCAAGACTAGTGTAGGGAACAACAAAACCCCATCACATACACACACACAAAATTAATACAAATAAAAAAGCTTTTTATATACTGATGTGTACCAAAATTCAAGATATATTTAAAAAGCAAAGCTAAAACAGTGGGTTGTGTTTGGTGCCGTTGGCATTTGGAAGGAAGTTGGAGTGGGGCAGGTGTGGATGTGCTGTCCTCGAGGAAGAGACATGGACTGCGGTGTGGGGCTGGTGCTCAGGAGAACTCCTTGTGAGCTGTTTATTACATTTATGTCCCGTTTTTTAAAGAAATAAGTCCTATTTGGGGGCTGCGGCTGTGGTGCAGCAATAGAGCAAGTGTGGATGTAGCGCAAGGCCAAGTTCGATCCTGACACTGGAGCCTTTGAAACCCTCCGATGTCCTGAGTTTGGTATTTATCTTCCTCTGGAGTATTCTAAACAGCACATAAGTAATAACTGTTACAACATACATATGTGTCCATAAACGGTGTAGTACATTGTCTTGTGTATTGTAATTTTTCACTCTGCAATGTGGTTTTTCTCCTTTTAAGAGTGTTTAAAAAACCCATGTAAACCCATGTTAATACATGTAGCTCTTATCCATTGCTTAAACCACTATACAGTGTTTCACTCTCTTTTTTTGGTGCCTGGGATCAAACTTGGGACCGTGCGCTTGTGAGGAAGGTGGCGGAACCACTGAGCTAAATCCCCTGATTCACTCTTGAATATATCTATTTAATCCATTTTTTGCTGCTGCTGCTGCTGTTTAGAGACAGGGCTTCTCTATGTAACCCAGGCTGGACTTGACCTCATTGCAGTCCTCCTGCCTCCGCCTCCCAAGCGCAGGGACAAAAGGTGCGCACCACCATGCCCAGCTAGTTGATTCATTTTTGTGACAATGAACATTGCGGTTATTTCCCAGTTTTCCCAACAGTGCTTCAGTTCACATCCTTGCTTACTGTGGGAAAGTATCTAGACCAGTGACCATCAAACATATTTTTGCCACATACGCTTAGCATTAAAAATACTGGCAGCAAGCACCCCTAATGTATGAATATGTAGTCCTTAGACTTTGCTCATATGAACTGCTACACCAAAGTAGTATGTTCATCGATATACCAAAAAAGGGGAAAATAACTGTAGAAAGGGTGATTTAAAAAGTGAAGTAGGGCCAAGTGGCTCCAGGATCACAAGAGACCGCTTGAACCCAGGAGTTCAAGATTGTCCTGGGCAGCGTAGCAGAACTCAGAAAGGAGGGGATGGGGGTCAGGCTTGATGGTGCACACCTGTGATCCCTGCCCCTGGGAGGCTGAGGCAGGAGGATCACTGTGAGTTCAAGGCCAGCCTGGCTACAGAGTGAGACCCTGTTGAAAAAGAAAAGGAAAGGAAGGAAGGAAAAGAATGGAGGGAGGGAGTGGGGTGGGAGTGACTCAGGCAGGATGTGGGCCTCCGTACAAGGCACGGTACAATCCCTAACACCACAGAAAGAGTGAAATGATAACGTAGTACAGACTGTCCTGAACTCACTGTATAGCCCAGGCTGGCCTCATTCATGGCTATCCTCCTGCCTCAGCCTCCTGAGTGCTGGGATTTCAGGGTGATGTTGATTCTTTGGTATTGATTGACACTTTAATGACCTAGTATAGGTCAGTTTTTATGGGAGGCAGAAGCAGGATGGCTGCAAGTTCGAGGCCAGCCTGGGGTACATAGTTCAAAGCCAGTCTGAACTACATAGCAAGACCCTGTCTCCAAAAAAAGTCAGTTTTTTATATTTTCCATAAATAAAATATTTATTTTCTAGGTGTTAGCTACAAGATTTTATACATGTATATTTGATAAAGTTTGTTGTAATATTTACTCTTCTGTATGTTACTAATTTTGGTTTTTTTGTTCTGTCTCTTAGTTTTGAGGTAAAGTATACTATGTACTTTTGGGCTGGGGTTTTAGGGATGGCGCCTCAGGGCTCACAGATGATGCTGGGCCAGTGCTCTAGTGCCAGCTCTTATTAAATATGTTAATATGTCCCACTGTGTGTGTAGGCTTTTCATTCTTCTCTTAGCTATGTCAATTTATGCCTTCAGTATAAAGGGCTGTAGCTCAGTGGTGCTGCACCTGCCTGGCAAGCGTAAGGTCCTAAGTTTAAATGCCATGTGAGACTGTTGCTAGCACGCTATAGGTACTATACTAGGTTGTTATAGTTCTCAGTGAATTTTTTAGCATCAAGCAATGGTACCTATATTCCTAGTAATTCTTTATCTCCTAAATCTGTATTTTGTCAACTTTTGACATCACTGTATCATTTTTCATTCTCTGTTTTGCTGTAGAGAGCAATGCTAAGAGCACGGACTCTAGCCAGGCACAGCGTCAAGCACCTGAGTGCCAGCTACACAGGAGGCTGAGGCAGGAGAATTGCTGGAGCCCAGGAATTCAAGGCCAGCACAGGGAGATCTCATCTCAAAAAAGAAAAGAAAACCATGAACTTTGAGGTTTAAATCCCAGCCCTAACCCTGGCTGTGACCTCCGGTGAGTTAATGCCTACATCCTGTCTGTGGAGTGTGGAGCGTCAACACGGCCGCCAGCGAGGTGTAAGGGAGGAGAAACAGCTTCTCCCAGTGCGCCGTGCAGTGTGAAGTGAGTGTCCACATCCCTATGGGTCCACTCCAGTGAACACCGTGACGCTGGACTTTTCCTGTGAGGGCCAGGCCATTTGTACTGGCTGCAGTGCGGACATCGGACGACCCAACGCCTCTAGTCAGTGGGGCTTTCGGGAGGGGAGAGCGCCAGGCTCTAACTGCTACGTGACTCGTGACAGAACTTGCTGGCCTCCCAGGAGATGTGGCCGAGGCACAGTCTTGGGGAATGGGTCTAGTCCCCACCCCTCCTGCCTGACCTTCACCCGCTTTGCTTCCTGGCTGCTGCGAGGCTGAGGCGGGCAGCTCCCCTCTGCCACACACGGCCCACCAATGCTGCCTCCACCGAGCAGGGCCCAAGTCATGTTCCCTCCCCTGCCCTGTTCGCCTCAGGTACACAACAGAAAGCTAACACATTCTAAAGTATGTTTTTGTGAGTGGAGTGTCCCATCTCACTGTATTGCCCAGGCTAGGCTTGAACTTGAGACCCTTCTGCCTCAGCCTCCTGGGAGCTGGGATTACAGGTGAGCACCTCCATGCCCAGAGCGCAGTATATTGTACATTTGGTAACTTCCCCAGTCCAACCCATTGCTCACTGTTGGAGCTTTGGGGTGGTTTTTTGGTTTCACTTTTGCCCTTTGCAGTTACCAAGTGCTGTCCCGGCCTCTGCCACGTGGCCTTCCGCACCTAGCGCACCTTGCTGGACACACCTGGGCCCAGTCTTCAGCAGACTGGCAAGTGAAAACGTGATTTCAGCAGCGATTCGGTCTGTGTTTATCTCAGTGAAATTCAGTGTATTTGATTGCTCTTTATTTTCCCTTTTCTGTTAATGTTCCTTTGTCCATTTTTAGTTGGATTGTTGCTCTTTTTGTGTCTATTTGTACATGTTTTTTAGGTACTGGAAAGTCAGTCCTTGTTCTGTGATAGTTCAATTTTGATTTTTTAAAAAAACTCTAAGCCCTTCCCCCAGGAATCATAAATAATGGTGATAAAAAATTGAATTATTTTTAAAGTTTGTTTTTCGCAAGTGGTAAAAGCTACCTTCGCCAGGCATGCTGGCACCCACCTGTGATCCCAGCCTCTGGGAGGGGAAGGAGCGAGCCCAGCTGAGGCAGCTGAGCAATTTAGCAAGACTGTCTAAAATATTTTTTAAATTTTAATGAAGACTGGGGGTGGTGTAGATTAGTGAGAAGATCCTGGGCTCACAAAGTAAAAAACAAAGCCACCTCTTTTGGTCAGTCGTTATGCATTGAACACATTTTAGTCCTTAAAACCTCGCTGCCTGGTAGATAATATTATGTTCATTTTTTACACATAAAAAACCCCAGCAATCAAAGCGATTCCCTCACTGCGCCAGCCGCTTCGCTCTGTGGCTCCGCAGTAACTGGGACAGCCTGGCCCCTCACCACAGTGAGAGCCACCTGGTAGCCACGAGTGCTGGGAGGACACAGCCAGGCGGGCACAGGCCTCGGGCAGGGTGGTCCGGGCGGAAGAACTGATCTGATCCAGATCTGGAAAACAGCACTGTTGGCGCTGGGCCCCAAGGCAAGCAGGAGTGTGGTGAGTGCAAGATCTCGGAGGGAGGCCAGGCCATGCGCTCTGGAGGACGGGCCGCTGGAACTGATCCTGCCTGGCATGTGCAGCTGAGCGGGTCTCCAGGCTGCCTCAGGCCCCTATCTGGCAAAGACCTGGGGCTCCCAGAGGATTTTTAATGTGTGCGCCTCTGCTGTTGCTACTGCTCACGTTCAGCGCCTGTCAGTCAGCTTTCTGTCAGCATAGCACACCCGAGTGACCGGTTTAGAAAGAGGAAAGGTTGGCTGGGCTCACGGTGTTGAAGGTCCACTCTGTGGCCCGTGGGGCCTGTGTCAAGGCTGCCCACAAGGCAGGGCACAGGCTCAGCAAAACCTGTTCATCTCTCAGCTGGGCGCCAAGAGGACCCAGGAAGGCGACATTTGGTGACTTGAGACCCTGCCAGGCACTTGTTGGAGAACTCTGGTCCCCAGCTACACTGAGCTGGGATCCGAGCATCCGCACCTGGGCCCTGGGGCCACTTTCTCTGGGCTTCTCTGGCCAGAGAGCTCAGATGTCACAGCTCCTAGGAGGCTCAGCTGGAGCTGAGATCAGCTCACAAAGACAGCGGGTGGGAGAGGCAGACCCGGGAGCCTCCCTGCAACCCTGAAGATCCTGGGGTTGCAACTCTGGCTTCCCCTGAACAGGAGCCAGGCAACAGCAGGACAGGAAGCAAAATGCATCTTATGACCTAGGGTCACACGCCACGTGTTCTCATTGCCCCGGTGATGACCTGGCCATTGGTGACTGCAGATGCCTGGGAGACACAGTGTGGGGATCGTGGGATTTACACTTACAAATACCAGTTAAGGGGTGGGATTTAGCTCAGTAGTTCCGGCGCCTGCCTCGCAAGCACAAGGTCCCAAGTTCGATCCCCGGTACCAAAAAAAAAAAAGAATAACAAATACCAGTTAATATGAGTACAGAGTAGCATATAGGGTATGCACATTGTATATAAATGTGGATTCATAAAATAAGATCGTATTTATTGATATTTACCATATTAGAAATTGAAACAATTCTTTCTTGTTTTTTGGTGCTGGGGATTGAATCTAAGGTCTTGAGCGTGTTAGGTGAGAGTCCTACCACTCAGCTCCATCTCAGCCCCAGAACCCTTTTAAGCAGTGGTTTGTTAATGTTTTTATTGTTTGTCTTGCAGAGCTGGAAACTGAACCCATAGCCCTGGAATACTGGCCACATGCTACACCACTAAGGTGGTGCCCTGCCCACATTTGTTACATGAAAATGAGCTAAGAAGCTGGGCATGGTGGCACATGCCTCTAATCCCAGCAGTCAAGGAGGCTGAGGCAGGAGGATGGCCGAGAGTTCAAGACCAGCCTGAACAGCAAAGTAAGACCTTCTCAGGAAAAAAACAAAAAAAGAGCTACAAGATAAAAGTGAGCTCATCAGCACTGCAAAACAAAAATTAAAAATAAAAAGGAGGTCACTATGTATCAATATAAACTGTATTTTTAGTGCAACTATATTCTGCAGAACAAGAATAGTTCCACATTTCTGCAGATCTGATACTTGGTCTAACAGAGACAGATGGATTTGGATTTCTCCTTCTGCATGTCCACTGAACATGCACAGGAAAATGAAGGGGCACATGGAAGACAATTTCTCAGTATTCTTGTAAAAAGAGTTTGACTTCATGGAATCTTCCTGGGCAGGCCCCCAAACTACTTCAGGAACCTTGAGCTACATTATGATGTGGTAACAAATGGCCTCAAACCTCAGGAGTTTACAAGGAAGGTTTGTTTTTCACCCATGGCTCTGGTCCATGTGGGCTTTACTGAGGAACTGGGCTGAGGCGGCCCCTCTACTGGGATGTCCTGTTCATCGAAATGAGGGAGGAAATGGTGACCAGCCTTTCACGCATCTGCTAGGAAGTAATGTGTCACTTTTCCCCCTTTCCGTGAGCCAAGCAATTGCCATGGCCATGCCTTAGGGCATCAGGGCTGGAACTGACTATTCTCAGGAAGGCTCTCTGGGAGGGGCCCCATGGACATGTGCTACATACACCTCCACCCTGTGGTTTAAAAGTCTTACTCCCTGGGGTGTTGCACAGCTGCTACCCAGTGGCTTGGGAGGCAAGTTCGAACACACCCCAGACAACCTAAGGAGATTATCTCAAATTTTTAAAAACTGGAAAAGGGGCTGAGGATGTGGCTTCGTGGTACAATGCATAGCACCTGTGAGGCCTGGTTCGTTCCTGGTGTGCACCTCACAGGTAATTCTGGTTGTGGCATGGAGGGTGCTGGGACAAGGGCAGGGGCTACTCAAGAGCAGAGGCAAAGTCAGGTAGGCTGAGCCGGGCTGTGGCGCTCACTCTTCCATCTCCGCTGGGCTGTCTGCTGCAGGCTCCTGGTTGTCAGGCCTGGTGCTCAAGGGCTCCTTTCCTTTTCCAGCTGGGACCCTGTGTCTTTGGTGTTGCATGAATTCAGCTTGATGTGTCTAATACAGGTTGGTTTTGCTTTTTCTTCCTGAGATTCTCCGGGTTGCTGTTTTGTGTCTGTTTCAGTGCTGGTGACGGAAGCCCCCCCCCCCCCCGGGCCTGCGCGTGCTGAGCAGCTGCACCTGGGGCTCAAGCCAGCCTCTCAGCAGACTCACACTTGGGCTCTTGTCGGTTCTGGACAGTCCAGCAGTCACCTCTGAGTCAGCTGTACCCCATCTCTTTTCAGAAGTGGGAAATGTATGTTAGTCTTTCTCAATTTATTTATTTTTATTGAGCTTTGTGGGGTTGTGTTTATTTGGAGCCAAGGCTCTGCCATGTTGCCCAGGCTGACCTCAAACTTGAGGGTCCTTCTGCCTTAGCCTTCCAAGTAGCTGGGATACAGGTGTGTCCTGCCACACCTGGCTTCAGTCTACTTTTAAATCTCTTAATCAATCCTGAGCATTTTCTGATTTTTTTTCCCCTCTACTGCATCCTGTGTAATTGCCTCAGATCTTGCAATCTGCAGATTCTCCTCCCTGCAGTTGCATCTGCTATGTTATGGGTTTTGGGTTTGAGTGTTTTGTCACGTGTGTATGTATGTGTGTGTGTGTGTGTGCGTGTGTGTGTGTGTGTGTTTGCGCGCGCATGCGCGCGCACACAGTCCAGCAATTTTATTAGACTTTATGGTTTTTCATATTTTTTCTGATATTTTTATTGGTTTTAGCTTTTATCTCAGGAGGTCTTAATTCTGTATTTTTGAACTTTTTTGCATATTTCTTTGTTGGAATCCTGCAGTATTGAGCTGGAAAAATGATTTCTGAGCAGAAAATTTTTCCTGTGGTTAGCTGACCTAACTGAGAAAGAGCCACTCCCAGTTCATACCCCCTCTCACACCTAACAGACATCTGAGGCTGCCCAGGTATGCCCTCTTTCATTGTCTTTTCTTCTCGTTGAATGTCTGTATCCTCTGTAATCCCTCCTTTCCCACTGTATGCTAACCAATCATGTAGAGTAAGTGTAACCTCCTCAAACCAACGAACTGATGTTAAGTGCCTTGCTTCTATATCCCCACCCCTCTTCCCTTGATCCATATAAACCCTGTTCATTGTCAGCTCTGGGTTCATCGCTTTGTGAAATCCCTGATTGGCCCACCAGCACAATAAAGCTATACGCTTACCTCCAACCTCCAGGTGTGTTCTGATTCTTCTTGGTCTGATCCCACTAAACCATTAAGAGCTGTAACACTATGGACTACAAGTCTACCATTACATTTGGTGTGTTGGCCGGGGAAATCGATCGCGCTGACTAAAATCATTGGTCGAAGCCCTTACGGAGGGAGCAGGGCCCTCCCAGCCCCTCGAAGGGATAGCACGCCCTCAGAGATTCCTCTTGAGTGTCTTCAGAGCACTGAGGATGAACTGCTTACCGCCTGTGTTTTTCAGGACCGAGAAGGAGTGAGGATGCTCATCTGGTTTAGTCCAGTCTGGTCATCAGATAAGGTAAGACCCCCCAGGGGCACCCTACTTAATTTGTTTAATCCTGCCCCATATGGTGGAAGGAGGGCTTGGCCAACCCTCTTCGAGAACAAACATTTCTCACTTGTTTTGGGTTCTTTTTCAGTTTTTGCCTGCTAGCCAGAGAGGAGAGAATCCCTGGGATGGGGGTTGGAAGGTTTAACCTGTGCATGCCTGGAGAGTATGAGTGTAAATGAATGCAACCAGATACCATCCTCAGTATTTGGTCCATGCGGCTACACAGCAAAGAGGGGTGATCCCTCTTCCTACGGAGTCTGACTGAGCTCATTCTGTGATTCTGTGACGCATCTAAGAAAAGGCCGAGTGGAGGCTCTTGTGATGAGATAAATACCCTCTCAAGCCTGGACAGTCCTTCAAGTGGCTGAGAGGCCCGCGGCCAGTTGAACACTTCCTCGGTCCTTCCCTCAGGGGAGGGGCACCCATCCTTTGTGACTCCAGTCCAGGGAAACCACACACACCTAGGCGCCTAGCCAGCAGGGTATGAGTCAGTCCAAACCCGCGGTGTTAGAATGTATGCTAGAAAATTTTAGGGAGGGCTAGCTGGTAATTAGGGAGTAAAAGTGAAACACCAGAGGCTGCACACCTTCTGTGACCTTGACTGCCCAAAACTGTGCCCAGAATGGCCTCCGGAGGGGACTGAATACAGACACTCTCCGCCAAGTCTGGAACAAAGTTACTGGGATTGATGAAGGAGGCTGCCCAGACCAGTTCCCTGTAGACTCATGGCTTCAACTTTGCTTAAACTTGCTGCTGTGATCCGTGTTTGTGCCATGAAAACCCAGGAGCCATTTTAGTCGTGCAGAAGAGCCACGCCAGTCCTGGGAACAATGACAAAAGACCCAGCCAGAGAGACTATCTGGTCCTCCCAGAGGATTCTTCTCAGGGAGAATCAGACTCGCCCCCACCTTAGGTGCCACAAGCTCGGCCTCAGTGCCACGACCCCACCTCTGGTGCCTGCCCCTAGCCCTGCGCCAGCATTGCCTGACTCTGCCTCCCAGCCATACCTGCCCATCTCCAGTGATGTCCCGACTCCACCTCCGCCCCAGCCCTTCCCTTCCCAGGCCCCGCCCCTGAGCCAGCAGTGGCGCCTTATCTGCTTCCAGTTTCTGCTCCGGCACAGCACTTCCTTCACCAGAGCCTAGCCGCCGCCACGCCAGTAAGGGTGCCTGTTCCTGTTCTGGTGACATTGCCTGGTCTCAGCCCAGCATTTCCACCGGTGACATCACCTGCTCCTCTGGTCCCACAGCAACCAATTTCTAACCTTGGGCCTGGAACCATGCCTCACCCTTCTCAGATGCCACCACCTGGTACTGTTTCTCCACTGATTCCAGCGCAACCAAACATTACCAGCGACATCAAGTCCAGAGGGCACTGTTTTTCTGCCTCCTCCGCTCCATTTAGTTTCTGATGTGCAGGCAGGATCCTCACCACTCCCACCAGAGCCAGCAGAGGCCCCCCTCAGACCTCATTTCCGATGGGCCATGCAGTCTGAACCACTGGCTCACCTTCAGATGCTGTTGCATGAATATCCGGAGTTCCCCCATCGCCTGGCCAGCAGCCCTTGAGGTATCACCAGCCTTTCAGCACCAGCGACCTTCTGAACTGGAAAAACCACAACCCTCTTACACTGAGAAGCCACAGGGATGATGGGACTTGTAACCTCCATCTTCCAAATTCACCAGCCTTTGTGGGATGACTGTCAGCAACTCCTTGTGACTCTCTTCAGCACAGAGGAACAACGGCAGATTCTGGATGAGGCCCAAGCCTCTCCAGCTCTAGATGACCCAGACCGCTGGGTTGCTGAAGTGTTGCCTAGGGGCCGACCAGACTGGAACCGTAACACAGTGGGAGGACTAGAAGCCTTAAACCAGTATCGGAATGCCCTCTTAGTGGGTCTTAAAAAGGGTGGGAAAAGGCTTATAAACATGTCAAAGGGGCCCGGGGATTTAGCTCAGTGGTTCCAGTTCCTTCCTTGAAAGCGCATAGTCCTGAGTTCGATCCCCAGTACCCAAAAAACAAACATGTCAAAGGTATCAGCTATCATCAAAAAATCAGATGAAAAAAAAAATCAGATGAAAGCCCAGCTGAATTCTGTGAGAGATTATGTGAAGCTTACCTAGTCTGTGCGCCCTGTGACTCAAAGCCCCCAAACATCAACAAGTGATTAATACAGCCTTCATTGCTCAGCCACCCAATGATACTCAAAGAGAGATACAGAAGATGGAGGGCTTTGTAGGCATGAATACAACTCAGTTAATTCAGATTGCCCAAAAGATTTTGTAAACAGAGAAAGAAAAGAAAAAAGAGAACAACGACATGAGGCCAACCGCCAAGATCATCCAAAGGCTGCCCTCCTCTCCAGCAGCTTTAGGAAAGGCTCCTCCTCCTGGGGCACAAAACGTCGGAAACCCCTATAGATGATGGAAGGGATCCCAGAGACCCTACCAACAAAGAAGTAATAGCACTGGAAGAACATTCTCTCTGGACCCCGATCAATGCGCCTACTGTCAGCAGCATGAGCACCAGAAGGACAACTGACCACATCTCCTGCAGAATAAAAAGGATGCAAGCCAGCCCAACCTGAACCTCTTTGCCTTGTCCAATCTGGACAACTAGGACAAACCAGGCTCTATTCAGTTGGGCCCTTGAGAGCCCACGGTCATGGCAAAAGTAGGAGGCAAACCGGTGACTTTTACTGTGGGCGGTGGGGCTGAACATTCAGTTGTAACTCAGCCTGTTGCACCTCTGGGACCTCAACGAGTCCAAGTGGTCAGAGCCTCTGGAGTTCCATCCAGGAAAAGACTTCTACCTAAGCCAGTCTTGTGAAACTGGGGAACATTTAGTCAAACATAAATTCCTGTACATACTTGGATGTCCCATTCATCTCCTGTGACATGACCTCCTTTCTAAGCTGGGGGCCACAATTTTCATCACTCCAAACCAGCCGGCAGGGCCGGGGATTTAGCTCAGTGGTCCTGGCACCTGCCTCGCAAGCGCAAGGTCCCGAGTTCGATCTCTGGTACCAAAAAAAAAAAACCAACACAAACCAGCCGGCAACACTCAGGCTTGGACCTGCAGCCTCAGCCCCAGACCTAATTTTGACTCTGGCTGTGCCCTGAGAAGAAGAATGGTGGCTCCATCAGGCAAAATGATCTGACAGCCAGAGCCCTGAAATTTTAAAGACACTTTTCCCAGAAGTCTGGGCTGAAGATAACTCTTCAGAACTTGCCAAAAATCATGCCCCTCTTACAACTGAGCTCCATCCAACAGCGACTCCTATCACTATCAAAGCATACCCCTGTCTGGGGAGCCCCATATTGGTATTCAACCACACATCTCCTCCCTGAAACAGTCTGGAATCCTGATAGACTGCCAGTCGCCTTGGAACACTCCCTCCTGGTAAGGAAGCCCAACAGGGATTACTGGCCAGTGCAAGACCTTCGTGCTCTCAACTCCTCCACAACTCTGCACCCAGCGGTTCTCAGCCCTTATACCTCCTGGGTTTGCTTCCCCCTGATGTTGCCTGGTTTACCTGCCTGGACCTAAAAGACACCTTCTTCTGTCTTTGAGTCGCTCCTGTCAGCCAGCTCATTTTCCCCTTCTAATGGGAAAACCCAGAGACTGGACGAAAAGGCTAACTTACCTGGACCCGCCTTCCACAAGATTTTAAGAACTTCCCCACACTCTTTGGAGAAGCATTAGCCACTGATCTGGCCAAATTTCCACATGCTGATTTCAATTGCGCCTTTCCACAGTACATACATGACCTGCTGATTTGTAGCTGGAATAAGGGACACAGGCTCTCCTCTACCACCTACTGGTCAGTGGCCATAAGGTCTCCCAGAAAAAGGCCCAAATATGTAAATCCAAAGTAGCCTTAGGTTTCAACCTAGAGAAAGGACTAAGACGCCTGGGGCCAGAAAGAAAAGAAGTGATATTTTCTATCCCCAGACCCAATAATAAAAGACAATTAAGAGAGTTCCTGGGGCCTGCACGGTTCTGCCGGATATGGACACTGGGATTTGCTGAAAAGGCCACACCCCTATATGACATGCTAGCAGGAGATAAAGAGGAGAAGAAGACAGGAGACTGGACTCTAGACCAAACCAAATCCTTCCAAACTATAAAGCAGGCACCGGCAGCAGCCCCGGCTGAGGGCATCCTGATGTGACCAGGCCCTTCAACCTGTGCCTTGGTGAACAAAGACATGTAGCACCAGGGGTCCTGACCCAAAGGATCGGCTGTTGGGTGAGGCCTATCACACATCTGTCTAAGAACTTAGACCCTGTAGCCAAGGCTGGCCTCCCTGCTTGAGTGCACTGGCAGCAACCGCCCTCCTGCTGCAGGAGGCAGACAAGTTGACCCTAGGACAGAACCTGACAGTGCAGGTGCCACACGGTGTTCTGGAGCTCCTCAGCAGCCGGGGACACCATTGGCTCCCAGACAGCTGTGTTGCACAGTATCAAGGACTGCTTTGTGAAAATCCCTGGCTCACTTTCCAACTGACTAAACCACCAAACCCAGCTACCTTCCTGCCCACCGAGCTTGGCCCTCCAGACCACGACTGCCCGGCCCTGACCCATGAACTCCGCCAGTCAGCCAGACCTACTGATGGGACCGTTAACCGATGCTGAGTGCTCTCTGTTCACCATGGGTGTTGCTCAGTCAAGGACGGAAAGCGTCAGGCTGGATATGCCGTTGTCACCACAGAAGAGGTGCACCTAGCCAGGCCTCTTCCCCAGAGCTGGTCTGCTCAGTGACAAGTCCTAAACTGGGCAAAAGGAAAGAAAGTAAACATTTACACTGGCTCTAGGTATACTTTCACCACTGTTCATGTCCACAGAATGCTGTACAAGGACTTCTCACAGCGGAAGGAAACAAATTAAAAATAAGGATGAAATCTCTCAACTCTTCGTTTGTTTGTTTGGTACTGGGATTAAACTTGGGTCCTTGTGCTTACGCAG